GTTTAAAAAAAAAAGAGGGTCTCTTTTTTTTTTTTGGTCACTTTTTCTAAAAAAAAAAAAAAAAAAAAAAAAAAAGAGATGACAGAAAATATTTTCAAAAAGCTTTTTTTTTTTTTTTAAGCGTAAACCCTTTTCTGAGTTGTATGACAAAGTGTCAGGGAGAGGATATGAAAATTTTTCAGCTTAAGGGAATATAGTCAGCAGAAAAAAAGGCACAATTTTATCAGAATGTCTTAAAATTACAACAAAAAAATTCACTTTAATGAGAAAAAAAGAGTTGCCAGGATTTAACATGACCAGGTTGGTGTATTGAAGTGTGCTGTATTGGTCCAAAGTTATCAAATAAATGTATAATTCAGTACATTCATGTCTGCGTTTATAAAAAGAAACATTTTCAGTCAATTCTGCAATGTTTTTCTGTACTAGGAAATACAGAAAAACATTGCTCCGCCCTTGTTTCTTCTTCTTCTCACCCTCATGGATGTCTCTCCTCCATGCGGCTGCTGCAGGCGGAACACCTGCGCCACCATGTGGTCGGTGGAGGGATGCAGCAGGATCCTGCGGGATGCCAGGCCCACCATGACGTAGCATCCCATGGGGGACAGGCTGACAGAGATGGCGTTGGGACCTGAGGGGGGGAGAACAGCTTTAACAGGGGGTGGAGTCAGGAAAGAGGAAGCAGCGGTCAGCGGTGGCGTACCGAATCTCTTGGTGTAGAGCATTTCTCCCAGGTTGTGTGGCGCCAGAGAGTAGATGGCCAGGATGCCCTCGTCAGGAAAACCCCGCTGACTGCTGGGAATGAAAACCGCCAGCAGCTGACCGTCTGCGGAGATGTCGCAGCTGGCGTCGTTGTAGATTTTACAGTTTGGCACCAGAACGTTGACCGAGGCTGAAAACAAGAAACACAGGGTTCTGGTAACTGATGTCTGTCCTGCAGCCCTTGGACATAAACTTAAAATACTTTTGATCAACTTCTAGCCAAGAGTCTGACGTTTCCATGGATACCAAATATGCGGTGCATATTGTTTTTAAAACAAGTTTTTTTAAGAGATCAGAAGAAATGAGGGGAGTGAGGGAGGAATGGAGGAGTTCTCGTACCGTTACTGATCTCTGGGAGGTCAAACTTGGTGAAGTCCCACCACTGCAGGCGGTACGTCGTGTTGGCGATGTTGCTGGCGACCGCAGACTGACCTTCGCCAATAGAGGCCCCTGAAAACGGAGTAGAAAACAGATTAAGGGTGCATTCACACCAGCTCTGCTTGGTCCACTTGAATCAAAATCTAATTTGGTTGTATAGAAAGTCCGGTTCGTTTGGGGAGGTGTGAATCAAACTCTGGTCCGTCTAGAAACCAGGTCTCGGTTTGGTTAAAGCGATCTCTGATGCGGTTCAAATGCATACCTAATATCACTCATCTGTGAATGTTTTAAACAGATTACAGTCTCCCTTACCAGCGAGAACTCTGTTGACAGACGAGTGTGTAGCCAGACCCGGCTGTCCTCGTTCGTGGAAGATTCCGGCGTACGGCAGGTACTCCGGCAGGAGGAAACGGCTGCAGGACCAAACCAGATTATTTCAGCATTTGGTAGAAACCAAACGTAACCCGGGATTAATCGTGTTACGGACTTACCGCGGGACAAATCGCCCCAGCGACGGAGCAGACATCCTGGCATTCCGTGGTGTCCTGTGTCTCGCTCTGTCTCCGTTATCACTGCAGGAAAACAGGAAAGGTTCACATTCGTTCCTTAAACTGTTTCTGAAGGACTCAGGCACTTTCATTTGCTGAAAAAACAACATATTTAGAGCAATAATTAAGCCAAAACTGTACAGAACACCTATGCATTTTGTATCCATCTGTCAATGGGTTCTACCCAGAAGTTTTAGTTTCACTCGGTACAAATTTAGTAAAAATAAATAAATCTGCAATTAAGCACCTTTTTATCCAATTTTTAATCACTAAAGTGCTTCAATAGATCAGTCCAACACTGTACTGATTATAGGTTGAGCAGAAAGGAACTTTTTACATGTTGATGTTAGAAGTATTTATCTTTTTGGCTGCAAATAAATCAAGCATACACTAAAGAAATATTGTTACTGAATTTCAGGAAATAAAATGTTTGTTTAAAATGTTTACCAAAATTTCCACTTAACTTTATATTTTGGTCTGTCTGATTATGTAATTTTTAAACATTAAATGATCCATAATTATTAATTATTCAGTAATTGAGTAAACTTTTTACCAAATACTGCTTTACTTTAACTTGAGTAAAATTATGTTGAAGTAGAGCTACTCTTACCTCAGTTTAATTTAATTTACCTCTGCAGATTTCTGACTCAAATATGCAAATATGTTTAAATAAAACAATATATTTTTGTTATTTGTAGGCCTAATAAATCACAACACTGCAGCATAATTTTACAGCTGCTGATTAAACTCCAGATTCTTGTCCTGCCTAAAGGAATCGTGATTTTGTGGTGCAGTTAAACACAAAGCAAACACTAACTCCAGCTCCTCGAAGTCGACGTCGCTGTTGTCCATGGTGCTGGACGGGTTGGGGGTGGGGCTGTCGGAGGACGTGGACATGGTCCGCATGCGGTGGTTCTGCTGGTACCGGAGGGAACGCTGGCGGATGCTGTCCCTCCTGGACAGATACTGGATCATCCTCTGAGCGTAGTAGGCTGCAGGAGAAAGCCTGCAGAGCAAAGGAAGCGCTTCAGGTCACAGACTGGTTCCTCTGCAGCCAATCACAGCCAAGTTCATTTAAATAGAACATTTTCAGCAACGAGGCAGTTAATAAAAATCCTGAACACATTAAATAAGCTAAACAGGTGGGTTTTTAGTTGGGGTGAACCGATTGCAGTTTTCTGGCCGATCACTGTTTTTTGTCTGAAAAGTTGTTAAATGTAGCATGAAAGTTGTTGAACAGTGGGGTGACTATGGCTAACATGCAGACGTGACCTGGTGGGCCGGTCAGACAGACAAACCTCTCGCTGCAGGGCAGAAGAGGACAGCGGCTGATTTTTAGACCTTTGATGAGGTAGATAAGATCAGGAGAGAAGATCGGTTTCACATGCAAGTCTACACCCCTAATTTTTAGTCTAGATTTAAAGGAACTCTGTGTTTCGGCTGTTTTGCAGTTTTCTGCAAAACAGAAAAATCTGGAAAGTTTGTTCCAGATTTGTGGAGCATAGAAGCTGAATGCTGCTTCTCCATGTTTGGTTCTGGGGATGCAGAACAGAACCAGATGACCTGAGAGGTTCTGGAAGGTTGCTATGACAACATCAGATCTTTAATGTATTGTGGTCCTAAACCGTTCAGTGATTTATAAATTAACAGTATTTAAAGTCTATTCTCTGAGCTACAGGGAGCCAGTGGAAGGACTGTAGACTGGGTGATGTTCTCCAACTTCCTGGTTTTAGTCAGAACTCCAGCAGCAGCGTCTGGATCAGATTAGTTTTTAGGCAGACCTGTGAAGAGTTTCTCTATTAGTCCTTTAATCCTGGAAATGTTCTTCAGGTGATAAAAGGCTGAATTTTTAACCGTCTTTATGGGTCTCTGAAGGCTCAAACTCAGATTTTGGGTCTGATTTCTTGTTTCCAGCTGTAAGAACTAAAGCTATGTCTGACTGCAGATCATTCCTCTTTAGGTCCAAAGACAATAAGTTTTGTTTTTGTTAATCTGGATAGAGTCCTGTTGATAAACGGCTCTATCCTGCTGGAGAATAAAAGTCTGGCAGGTGAGAACTGTGTGGTACCTGGCCGGGTCTGGGTAGATGGGATGGTCTCTGGACCCGGACATGTCGTATCGAGACAACGATAGCAGGGATGACTCCAGCAGCCGCCTGTCGGGAACAGACCGTTGTTAGAACGGGATTTCTGCAGCGTGGAGGAATTTCAATGTTAAAATAGAAAAATTAGACGGATTTAGAACTTTTTCTGGCCTTCCACAAACTAAAGCAAATGGATCTTTGGACCTTTCAAAATGGCTCTGAATGACTTCACTAAAACCAAATATAGATATGATAAGAAATTACGTTTTTAGCTGTTTTGAAGCAGTTTTATGAAATAATTACATTAAATTTCCAAAATATAATAACACTAAAAGGTTCAATAATATCTGTATATCCATTTTTCCTGACATTAGGTTAGAGACCATCTACAGCTGCTGCACCCGCATCTACTGTAAACATTTTGTTTGCAACTAAAATATAATTTCATTGTGAAACTGACATCTATACATGTATGAATGAATTATTGTTTTTATAATATGCCTTACATTTATTTCTGTTTATTCAAGTTAAATCAAATTTACTATGTTTTTTAACAACTATGAAATATAAGTCCACATGTTTGTTTTCCCTCTTAGGCTGAATAAGTAATTGTTATTAATGTTTGACTGTTTACAATCAGCACCCCATAAATACCTGCTTTTGTTTTTTAATTGAGAACATTAATGTAGCTCTTTATGGCCCTCCTGATACAAGAGAAACTCAGGTTTTTAAAGGGGCAGTATCGTGTTTTCCAGGCACACAGTGACATTTTATAGCAAAATAAAGTAACTATGTTACCTTCAATTGATAGAAAAATGATACATATATATAGTTATATATAGTTATATCTAATATGACATAAAATAAATGTTACTTTGTCTCTTTGAGAAACTCGTGTTCTGTGTGAAACTCCGCCTTCAGGAAGTCATCACAACATGGCTCCTCCATTAACCCTTTAACAACAATTTTACCAGCGTTTCATTGAAAAGTAGCTGCTATAATGAGCAGTTCCAGCAGGTGTTTGCTAATTGCTGCTGGCTAGTCTGAAGGAGCTGCTCTGTGAGGTGGAAGCTCGGAAACTGCAGCTCTGAGGAGGAGCTGCGCCCTGAAGGTGGGGCTAGATGCAGCCAGGTGTTTTGCACAACTGCAATGGAGATGAAAGGATCAAAGCAACATTCCTGGTATGATTTGAGGAAATAACATTATAACATGATGTAAAGCTCAAAAAAGTTAATTTTACACGATACTGCCCCTTTAATTGATCACTTTGATCCCGGATTGGAGCCGACTGCGGCGCCATACCTCCTCAGGGAATCCTCATCCGGCGGGTCAACAGGCATTTCTTGGCTTAAGGCCTCTGGCGGCTCGACGGCCCGGCTGACGGTGGCCTGCCGGTACACCCTTTCCCACTGCGCCGTGTCCTGGTTGTAGACCAGGCCCACTGTCTGTTCGGCGGCCTGGCTGGGCGGCGGCGCCAACGGGAACGCCACCGCTCCTCCTCCTGGAGGAAGAGCCGGCTGCTCGCTGGTCTCTGGCGCCGCTCTCCTCTCCCTCTCCTGGTTCTCCAGTGTCCTCCTGCTCTCCTCCGGCTGCCAGGCGGCGGCAGGTGAGGGGAAGGAGGAGGAAGAGGAGGGAGGATCCAGAGAAGAAGAGGAGGAGGTGGTGGAAGAGGTCTGGTGCGTGCGCTCCCAGCGCTGGGAGTCCTGGTTGAAGGTGAGCAGGTTGTGGCAGGCCCGGCAGCGGTTCAGGTGGTGCCCCCTGGAGGACGGCGGCGGGGGTGGCACGTTGTTCTCTAGGCTGTGGGCGACGGGCGGGGGCGCTGGCGGCTGGTAGTGGATGATGGTCGGCGAGGAAGAGGAGGACTGGCCCGGCCTGTCCGGGTCCATGTTGTTGTTCAGCAGCTCTTGGTTTGGCTCCTGGTTGCCATCGGCGATGCTGCCGCCCAGCGACGGGTCGATGTCGATGCGGTCGATCTCCAGGAAGTAGCGGCTCAGGTTGCACTGCAGAACATTCCGGAAGGAGGCCGAGGAGCCGCGGCCGCCGTCCCAGAACGGGTGGTGGCCGCTGCTTGTCCCGGCGCCGTCCCGACTCCCCGGCTCCCCCTGCTGGGCGAAGCCCCGCCCCTCGGAGGCGGAGGTGTAGAGCGGCGACTGAGACGAGCCATCCTGCTGGCGGAGCACCGACAGCAGGCTGACAGAGGAAGAGGAGGAGGTCCTGGGAGGAAGCATGGCGGGGCCTGCCGCGCTGTCCCGCAAGTTCAGCAGGCTGCGGGTCCAGTCCGGCCCGGGCCGGGCGGCGCCCAGCGGCTCCATGATGTTCGGCATGATGGGGTTCAGGGAGGCGCCGGCGCTGTAGTAGACGGAGGTGAAGGCGGAGGGCCGATCCGAGGGCTGCCGCGGCTCCGTGCGGGCCGAAGAGAAGGTGGAGGCCGTGGAGAGCGTTGGCGTCTCCGTGGAAACCGATGGTGTCGAAGTGGAGGCGCCGGTGGGCAGGCAGCGCTTCCGGCTGACGGAGCAGCGGGTGCAGACGCACAACATGCCCAGGTGCTGGGTGCAGCCGGGGAGCGAGGGGCCGCCGGGCGATTCGCTGACTCCGCTGCCGCCGTCGCTTACGGGCCGTGGCGGCGGCGGAGGCGGCGGCTGCTCGGCTCCGACGCTGGGTCCCGGGGAGCGAGAAGACGACAAGATGTGCAGGAAGTTGTGAAGGATTGGCGTCCGGCGAACTGGCTGGGAAGGCAGGAAGGAGCGCTGGCGGAAGTGAGGCATCTCCACGCTGTCCATCGGGACCTCAGAGTCTTCCTCATTCTGGGACAGAAGAGACTCATCAAACGAGGAAATGACCAACATGAAGAGTTTCTTTAAAATAAAAACACTGATTAACAACAACAGCAATTTAAGGATTCACTGCAAAAATACTAAATCTCACCAATCTGGACTCGTTTGTCCAGATATCTTAGTGCACTTGAAACAAGAAACATCAAACGTGGAAGTAAAACGAGCTTGTTTTAAGCCAATAATTTCTTAATACTGATATAAAAAAAAAATGCTAGTTCATCTGCAAGATTATTTCACTTACAGCAAGACATTTTAGAGATTCAAAACCTGCTTTTCAAGGAAGTCTTGGCCAAGAGGCAGCAACACACAAAAAAAAAAGAGTACAAAGAAAACAAAAAGCTATTAAAAAACAACAATCTGCTTCAAGACATTTTAGTTTATACTTCAAGGCACTAAATGAGACGAGTTCAGTCAATCTAAAAGTCTCTTGTAATGAGTTTGATGAAGAGAGTGCAGTGAATGAAAGCCTTCAGTTTGAGCAAAAGGGACAGAAATAAACAGCAAAAAGTATGAAAGTCAACATCTCTCAGTGAAGCTGCAGAATGCCAGAAGATTTGGACATTTTTTCACAACTCACCTGCTGATTGGACGGATTCACGATCGCCGTGAGCAGGTTGTGACCCAGAGGATCAAATCTCACCAACCTGGAACAACAATAAGGACAGAACTTTTATTTTTACAATTTTCTTTAAAGGGTTTGTCGTTTAGTTTAATTTTTTATGAATTTGTCATCAGCAACAGAAAATTTTAAACTAATGTTCTGTTGAACCACAACAGTTTAATTTATGTATTTAAGTATTTTTATTTCAGGTTAGGTTTTTTTAGCCAAATTAGTTTACATTTCTATTTATCAATTCTATATTTTCTTTTATGCATTAAACATATCGTAAAAAAAATTTTGTATTAGAAATAAAAAAATATTATAAAAAATCCTTCCCCTTATCCCCTGCAGAAAAAGAATAAGCAGAAAATGTGGAATATCATCTCTTATCGTGGTATTTGAAAAATATAAGGTGCTATAATTTTTGGGCAACATCTCCCTCCCCTAAACTGAACAGAAACTCTCTTCCAAAAGGCCTGAACTAAAGCTAAACATATTTGTGTTTAAAGCCTTGGTGTGACCCAGCGTTTCGGAGTGTTAAATCCAAGGCCGGTTGGGTTCCTGCATCGTGGCGACGGCTCTTCGACCCACCTCACTCGTTCCGTGTCGCTGCCCGTCTTGACCACGGCGAACGGCTCCGGCCGGCTCCAGTCCCAGAAGTGAAGCTCGTTGTTGGTGGCGATGAGGAGGAGCTGGGCGGTCGGGTGGAAGGCCAGAGAGGCGATGGCCACGTTGCTCTCCGTAAACCAGCTCTCACTGCCGCCCTGAAAGCAAAACGCCCAGTTCAGCCCAACAAAGTCATGGAAACAAACTACTTGTACTGGTTTGTTTTTAATGCTTAGATTCCCGTTTTCATTCAGACATCTCCGATCGCAAAACATGCAGTTGGAATATTGTTGTTTTTTCATGGCAGGTTTTATGTTAAAGGTGCAAAATGAGGAGTTCAGGTTTTCTTTTGTTTTTCAATGTAAGAACAATATTATGATTCTTTAAATTTAAAGTTATGAATTAAGACTTTTTTAGAATAATGAATAGGTTAATGAAAGTGAAGCTGCAACTAACGCTTATTTTAATAATCAATTAATCAGATTAACCCTTTCAGCCCAAAATAAAATAATTCTGTTTTTGCTATAATATTTGCAAGCAAACAAGAGAGTAAAACTTAGATGATCCAAACCAAATCTGATCTGATCCAAATCTCAAACTGCAGCATTTATCACATTTTTTAAAGTTTTACTTTGCTTGATTCCTTCTAGTTGTACTGAAAGTCTTCTCAGTTGAACTTCTTACTGCACAAATATGAAAAGATTTCCTGAAACAATCCAAACTTATTCTGCACTCACATGCAGGTCCCAAATGCGGACTTCCCCATCAAGGCACCCGGAGGCCACCAAGCCAGGAATGGTGGGGTGAAAGGTCACACACCAGGGGGTTCTCCGGTGGCCCACTAAGGAATGGAGGCACTTTCCAGTCTTCACCTCCGTTATGTAGATGTTGTGGTTGACGTGCGTGGAGGCCATTAAAGACCTGCAGGGACAAATGAGGTACTTTCAATCATGAATGATTCCAGTTGGTTTTAACATTAAAGTCGACAAGAAGAGAAAACTGAGAACATGGAAACTTTATTCATTATTCTGGAGCTCAGAGCGATCTCAGATTTTATTCAAACAGAGATTCAGCAAAGTAAGAGAGAGAAGGTAAGAGGTTTTATTTCCTAAAGATGAAATCTAATTGATCAAGGATGCTAACGTAAAAATAAAAAGCTGGTCGAAGCTTAAAAGCTTAATCTTTTATTCTAAAATCCAAGAGTTTGCTTTGGTCTTTAGTTGTAATGTTTATGTTTTTAAAGCATGTCTTGTAGAGCAGACAAAGTCTTCTGAAGTTGTGTGTGTGTGTGTAGGTGTGAGACCTGTCCGGGCTGAAGGCCAGCAGGAACGTTGATCGAGGGCTGTCTGGAAGCTCCACTTTCTAGAAGAGACACAAACCAAAACATTTAAACTGAATCCAGAATAAATGAAGTAATAATCCTAAAACATCTGTTATTTGAAACACTTCAAATAAATTAATGTCCTGTTAATAATAAAAAACAAAATGGCTGAAAAATACGAGTCCCTTACAGCTGGCTATGGAGGACTGATCCTGACAAAATTGATCAATAAACATAAAAATAAATAAATGACTTGATAAAATAATGAAAGTGCCCATTTTGATTCTAAAAAATAAAAACTTTCCTGACTTATTTAAGTCAGCATTTATCATTTTCAACAGTATTAATTTAAAACGATTGGTATTATTTAACTTTCCATTTTTTTTATTTCTTATTTAATACATGTTTTCCATTATTTAATATGCATTTAACATTATTTTTTAATTTTCTGTCACATTTAATTATCTGTATTTATTTTGTACATTATTTTTGTCACTTTTTAATCATACATTGAT